CGTTTATTTGAAGAGGCAATCCAATCTAAAAGTGAGATGTGTTTGGAGAATTATATTTTAGTTGCGTAAATAAACACATTGTAAAGGCGTGCATGCATGCTTTAGTATTCAGCGTCTAAATTGCATCAGTGAAATATAATTCCCGTCTTGTCACCTGAGCCGGTAAGATCTTCATTTGTGAGATCTGAATATACGAGTCACTGGGAGAGGAGTGGTTTTTGTAGATCCTCAGAGTCTCCTCACTGGACTGGTATCTTGCCTGATAAGAAACACAAAGTCTACAATATGAATATAAATCCTGAATTTAAAAATCTGATTGAGGATTTATGTTTGCAAGATTGATGAATTTACCAACATAAATAATCAATTGGTTAAGGGAAGTTAAGCATTGTATGTAATGCTTTTTGGATGTTACTCCCAGTATCTGGTGGTATTTCCTTACTGGTAGACACCCATGTAATACTTTTCCACTGAAACTGCTCATCTTACATAAAACGAAACTGCCAAACAGAAGGACCAACGGTCAAAACCCTTACCTGAATAAAAAGTATCTCTACTTGATCCTGTAATTGAATCTGAACATAGACGTTCCCATCCTCAGACACTGGAGCTGTCAGAGTCGTAGATTCAATGACAAAACTGGATGTGCTCTGAGTGACTTCAATCACAGCAGAGTACATTAGGTCTTCTGGGCTGAGTGGTTCTCTGTCATATCTACAGATCTTTAGCTGTTGAATAGAAGAGAAGGGAGTTAGCTCGTGACAATAACAGTTTAAAATAGATGCTAAATACTCCAATAAAAGTACTCACTAATGTAGAGAAGAGTAAAGATGGCTTAAGTGTGTCTGGATAATCATGGAATGCAAGCTGGAGTATGTCCTGTATTAGGTGGATTTCCACTGTTGTGTTCACTTTAAAGCCTTTGAGGTTGATGCAACATGTTGGTTTAACGATGAAATTAAGATGGATGCAATGCTTGAATCAACATAGTTACAAAAAAAAACACTCACCTGTGAAGTTGTCTGTAACCCAGGCAACAACATGTACATGTCTGCTTTTGTTGCTTTCTGATGACGTGTGAAGGGTTTGAAGCAGGTCTTTACTAAAGGAAAACTGTGTTGACCCATATATCTGGAAAACAACGGTCAACATTTAGCCCCTAAAGCTGTTTATCATACTTAAGTGTATATTCTGGTTAAAGAGAGTCACATTATATCCTTACTTTTTAGATAAGCTACAGAGAGACAACTTTACCTCTTTAGTTTTCATGAATGGAGCGTCTGCATTGTGCATAGCAGACACCAAAGAGAGTGACACAGCTAGCGTTCCATGCACAGGCTGTCCACTTGGTAAGCTAGGTTGGAAACATAGAGTACTGCTGAATTTTTGCTTAAAATGTGTGTACAGGCAACACAAATGATTTGCATGATATTATGTACTTACAGTGCTCTAACTGATCCTGAGATTTTATCTCCTACAAGGACATGTGATGGTGTCTTTAGTAGAACTTCAAAAGGACGCTCTGCAACAGGGAACACGTAAAATCATGGGGATGACAGTAATTAAGTTATGGATAACTCTGAATTAGAATTTCAGTTAACAGCCAAGCTAGCAGCTATTTGTGACTGCTCCTAAAAGCAGCGCTAACTGAACATGTAGCATTATTTGGCATTTATTGTAGCTTTATGCTAAAGTGAGTGCTGCTCTGCTAAAGTGAGTTGTGTTAAAGTGTTTTACTTTGAGCTAAAAGCAACTTTATGCTAAGTGCTCACAATGACGATGCTTACTTGTTGATAATAAGATTTTTTGTACCATGTTCCCTATCATACTTAAAGATGTTAGCATGCTAACATCGGCTCATTAGCTCCTGAATGAAAAATAGTGCTGAGGCTTGATAGGATTAGTTTGCAGATATTCGTTGCTACATAAAAGACATGGGACAAATAAAGTTTGACCTGATGGCAGCACAACAGGAACAGTTACTTGATCACAGTATTTAGAATGTATCCTCTGGGGACCTTGAAAAATCTGCACCACATTTGGAGTCAAGCCATTTTTGGGATATTTGATTGGTTACATGCAAACCTAAATGGGATGCTGGAGTAAATCCCCAGAGGACTATGACTGTCAATGCCAAGATTTCATGGCTATTCATCCGTAGTAGATAAGAAAGTTATTCTTAATCCAAGAAGTAGACTAGCCAGTTGACCAACCAAAACTGCCAACCGTTCAAACTGAAGTGCTTGAAAGGCTTATAAATAGTTAAGGAAAAAACTAATAGATTACCATAATGCTCCACAGTGAATGCTGTCTTGTCAGTAACACCCTGTAGGGGATATAATTTAAATGAAAACTGCTCTTCATAAACAATTCAGAAATCTGTTTTTTTTAAACAGCATGGATAGGTCAAAAAGTCTCTATTATTATTTCTTACATTCACTGTGGTTGTGATCACCCACAGTCCAAGAAGAGGCGCTTGTGATAAACTGACTTCCCGCAACACAATCCCCAAATTCTCTTTGGACTCCCACTCCTCAGCAACAATCCCACTGGGATCCTACAAGTGACAAAAGAACATCAGTCAAACTTCCCCACCATCTCCACCACAACAATAGCCTGCAAAAAAAATCTATTCAACTCCTCTGGCTTTGTTGTTTCATACAGAAGACAAGAGACACACCTGTATAGAGACCCCCACTCTGCCTTTGTACGGATGGTTATCCAACTTAACACACACAATTCTGATTTTGACAGTATCGCCTGGTTGGTAGCGTGGTCTATCTGTTTGAATGAAGGTGGAGACATTCCTCAGGCTGAAGATGAGGGTAGTGGTGTTGGTGAAAATGAGAGTGTCCCCAGTGTAGCCATTCACCGTCAAGTTTAAACGGGAATCGTGGGCTATGGTCGCAGAAATCTGAAGATATCGTATGAGAATGTTTAGAAATGTGATGGAAAAGCAGAGACATCAGGCTAAAGAGGTTATTCAATTGTTTCCTAATACTATCAAGAAGCAAAAAATCGATTTGGGGATAAAGCAAAAACAAGAAGGTTGAAATTCATACTCACAGGAGGGAGTGTGAGGATCCTGGTCGGACCTTGAAAACAGAATGATATTTTAGCTCTCTAAAAATGTAAAAAGTTAAAAAGCAAATCAACCTTGTCTGTAGTTAAAGGGTCACCTCCTTGGAAGGCTTCTGTTTGGGCTACTTTGGTGTTTCTGTGTGTAACTTCAGCGACGACCCTGCCAGAGAAGTCACCATGGACGGTGACAGCCAGAGGAGTCGGTATCCCAGCATGCAACATTTCTGGACCTGAGATCAAAAACAGTGTCCTGGTAGAAAGAGGAAGGCAATGATAGGTGAAAGAAGTTGGATCATTAGAATAAAAACAACTGTGTTTCAATAAATTACATAAAATAATGCATTCTTAATGTGGTTGACTTCGTAACTTACTTTGATGAATCCTGAGTGGAACCAGGAACAGCGCACAACAAAACCCCAAAACTCAAAACCACAATCCAGATCCCACGCATGCTGCTGGTGTGTCTTCTTCTCTCAACATACGACTCTTAAATCGGTCGTCAAACTGGCAGGGTCTGCTTTGTAAAAAAAAAACACAAGTGACCTGACCAAGAAGCTCAAAAACCCCACCTCCTGTCCACACACCAACGCCCCAAGAGACCAACCTCACATGCTTTGCCTGAGCACACCAGAATGCATACAGGTATTATCACACATATATTCTTTGTCACACACAAAGGATGAAGAGGAGTGAGAGAGGGGGGATGTTCACACAGACTCTTTACGCCTTGGCCGAGGGGGAATCGTCTCATCTGTCTATTCAGGGTTTGATTCCCAGTCCCGTCCTAAGCCTTGAGAGAGACGTTCAGCTGATACTGTATCCACGCTGAGAAGAAGATATGTCTTGAATGTCACACTAAAGTGACACTAAAGCCCCTGAGAGTTTAATTGTTGGCATTTATCTGAATACTGAGGCTGTTCCTTCAATCTGCATTGTTTGCTGAAACATTTTAAACTTTATATCCACTCCTTGGAAAACAACTCAGCTTTGTTGTAAACAAGTGTGAGACCTTTATTTCCTCGTGACAACACGTCACAGAATTTAATTGAAATGATCAGTTATCAAAATACTTGCTTTAAACCTCCCCACCTCCCTTTAGTTTTAAACTGAAAAACTAATTTTTGTATATTGATATATATATATATATATATATATATATACTCATATATTATTATATGAGTTTGTTTTGCAGTGTTTGCACTTTCAACTAAAAAAATACAGCTCATAAAAGAAGTGTGTCCTTAATATAGCAGCACAGAGAAGATATGCTGACATTGTGGGAGCATTTTTAACCTCTAAGCAATAATTAAAATATTCAGAGCTGCAATAAAAAACCTGCATTTACTTTTCTTTACCCACAGGTGGCAGTAAAGTCCAGGCTAAGCCTCTGCTTTAAAGTGGCGCTGCTTTCAACACAAAACAGAACCTCGACCAAGATGTGGATTGAATATTTATCGCCCCTAAAACCAGATTATAACAAAAAATCTAAATGTAAATGATGCATCTCATCTGGATCCCCTTGTTTCACTGCTACAAAGCATTTGTTTCTTTTCCTTTAATTAAATGTATTTTTATGATCTTTCTTTACTTTCAATGTCAATCTGATGTTTAGTAGTGTAAGGTATTTACTAGTTCATACATGAAGAGGATAATAGCAAACAGTGGAGGAACATGGGTACTCTACTGGTTTTTGTGAAATGTAGGGGTATATATACAAGTCTGCACCGCTACATCATCACGGGGGATCTCATTACAGAGACACTCTGCCAAAAAACTTGACTAATCCGGGAGAGATGGTAACAACTAACTTGACCAAAAACCAATAAACGTGCTTCATCTTTCATAAAGTTGACTTGTGACTGTTCTCTGAATATTCTCATGAGGACAAGGGATTACACATCACTCACACAGTGTCATCATTAGTTTCATATTTACACTTTATTTCTTAGGTATCAATTCTTTTACACTAGTTACATATAAACATGTTGTACAATGGTTTATTTCACACACATGAGGATCCAAATAATTGGCACATAGGACTTTGGCAAAAAAGAACTCAGCATTAAAGTTGTCAAAACAACACCTATGATTCAGATTCTCGACATGGGGCTGAAAGAGAGTTCATTTCAACATCTGTGAGTTTGAGATATTTGAGATGTACCAAACAGCCACAGCCATTTTCGCCAAATTGAACACAATGTTTTAATCTTTGCCGCAATAACATGTTTTAGAATCAGACTTTTTAACTGAACATATCTTCTGACTGGTTTGAAGGCATGCAGCTTCATTCCCACCTAGCCTTTGTAACATTGGTATCTGTACAGTATCACATTCTTACAAAGTTCTCACAAAGTGCTGACAAAAGTGCATATGTACAGAGTGGCAAAAAGTAAAAAGTAGAGCACTAAAGAAAGAATTAAGTTCACAACAGATTGGCAGTGAAAACCGTGCAGTTCAAGAACTTCAGACAGATTAACTAAAGGACATGATGCAATAGAGTTCTGTCTGTTAGTGATGTACCAGTGTGAAGACATTTACAGCAACTCTACCTTTACATGCATCTAGTATAACGAATGACTGATTGTCAACAAGTCGTTGTTTTTAAAGTTACTGTTTGTAACTTTTTTTTTAAAAGGCTGACTGATCCCCTTCTCAGTTTGTCAGGTTCTCATTTTTGCAGTTTCATCTCAAACTGATTAACTGAAAGTTATCTTTTGAGAGAAATTACAACACTTAAAATAACATTTGTTAACGCTAGCCAATGACGTTGACATTGTAGACAATGACATTGATACAAAATCTCAAAGGTTGCACGTAGCTTGTATAAGAGGAAGTTTGACAGAAAACCAAGCGGGACGAAATTTAATCCACAGCAACCAATTTACATTTTGGGATATTTTTGTTTCGTTCCAGATATCATTGTCTTAACCAAATAGGTAATAAAACACATCTTAAACTTTTAAAAAAAAAATGAAAAAAGGACAGATTTGCAGCCAGTGTTCCAGGTAGTGAAAGCTGGTTTGTCTGTAATGTGTGTTTCCTTGCTCATACTGGATTGGCAGTATTTATCAAGTCAATACTGCAAGTTTGTTAAACAGTTAATAACTCACTTAACTGTTTTTCTAACCACAGATGACATCTGTAAAGTCACATTTGAAGAAAAAAAACACTGATCACTAATATATGTCTGAGCACATGTCCTTTGGTTCTGGAGTCCTTTTTTATTGTTATTGCTTTTTCCAAATTTTCCTGGCAATTAGAAAATATTGTAGCCATCCAACATATTTATGGCATGATTTTCTGGGATCCCTCAGTCTTAATATCCTTTTTTGAGGAAAAGCACCGATAGGAGTCAGTCTGTACCTCCAGCAGTCACATCTCAAAGTGACGGTAGATGCTCTCCACATAGTTCAGGACCCTCTGCCAGTCAGGACCCCCCGCACGAAGCATGTCCTCTACCGTCTGTGGGCAAGAAAGTGAATGATCTCAAAATCGAAGGAAGAATATGTGATTTTTTTCACACTTAAATGTAGCAGAAATCAAGTTTATCCTCTGAAAAGTTGTTTAATTGAGGGACTAGCGAAAAGAAGAACATACTGTACTCACTGCTTATTTATGTCACGTAAGCGTTTTTATGTATAAATTTACATGCGGTGTGAAGATAAGAGCAAAATAAAGAGCGCTAGCATTAGCATGTTAACACAACAATGCAGCGTGAGTTGTTTTGGTTTCATGCTGGTGCTCAAGGGCGACACCTGCTGGATCAAACAATCGCATATAAAGCTTTAACATCTTGACTGGATTCTAAAAAAGCAAGTTGTCTAACGTACCAGAGTCCGTGTGATCCCAACACTCTCTCCTGTTTTGAATGCCAGACTGAGATTCTCCCTCTGCAAACAAAGAAAGAAAGGGCAGAGTTAAACATCCAATATCACCATCAAGAATGCATTAAACACACTCTAGATAAAGTTCCCACCTTGTTCTCTGGAGTCAGGGTGCTGTAAGGGATGTGTGAGGGGAGGTATGTGTGAAAAACGGCACAGAAGGCCAGACCATCTGCCCAGCTGCTGCTGAAGTTGGTGATGTCAATATTCTGCTTAGACACAAAGACAGGAAAGGTGAGGGTAACACAAGACAAACAATGACCTCAAGAGTTTACAGAAATTCACTTCTAAGCAAGCATTGTTCAAAATAAATAAATTACATTTTTGTGTGAATAAAACTGAATCATGGCTGGATTCCATTACTCATCTTCAGAATGAGGGTTCAAGTACAGTGCATGTTAGCTCAGTGTCACGTTGGCATGGCTCACCGGGACACCTTAGTGAAGCACAGCCGTCTGTATTGTTATTAGTTACACTGTGTTGTTCCTGCTACAAGACAAATGTCTGCAGTGAAACAAACCTGCTTTTCAAACATTTTATAGAAGGAATGTTTGATCAGGAAAAATGTTGACTTCCTAGTGGTAATATGAAAAGCTATGAGACTTGTTTATGTGTAGAGGCGAGTCTGGCTCTTTCCTGAATTCGTCCCGTGTGAAACAAGCGTCTTCTTGCTATATAACACTTTGAATCTGTCCTCTTCGTTGCTTCAATGAGCTGTGTTATTTTCACAGAAAACTTCATCTAGCGTCACAGCTGGCTGCAGCCTTTGTAACCAAGACATGCAGACACATGGAACCTGTCATAACTTGCTCATACTTTTACCATAGAAACACATTTTGGTGTCGTTCCCTGGAAGCTCTTTTTCACGTTACTTTAAAGTACATGTGCAGCAAGGCAAACAAACATAAACTACTGACATGACTCACTGCTGTCCTTTTAAAGAGGACAGGGTGAACTCATCAATGACTGGATTCACATCCGGATACACAACGTATCCAGAAATGATCTCATCCATGGTTAATACAGTGGTAACTGCAGCAAGATTTGAGAATTGTTAGCATATATAGGACAGAGATAATGTGTTCAGAGCTTTGCTTTTCTGTTCAAGCATACACTGCCCTACACTGCGTTGAAGCGTGCTTGGGCACGGTACGGATGGCCAGTGTGACCGTGCCCTAAGGATCAAGTGGACAACTGGATTTTACTGGCTGGTGGTTTAACGATGTACAATAAGCATCCTAGAAAATTTCACTTGATATTGAAACCAGAAAATACAACGTTTATAGCCAGCAGACACCAGAAAGTTTATTTTCACTTCACTCATCATTAAACATGAACTGTTGCTGCCATTCAATTCCCAATTTCGTTGTGTTAAGCCTGTGTTAATTTGCATTAAAAAAGTGTAGCTCTAAGAAAAACATATAAATGAAATCGTGTCCAGGTTAACCTTGTAGCCTTGTGTTTGGCTCTGACACCAGCGCAGCAGCGAGTTCCTCTTGGAGCCTCCATGGCGACGCAGCAGCATGTTGAAACCATCCTGGGACCTGACAACAAGATATAAACTGCTGAGGGCTTCACAGTAACACTGCAGGACTTTCTACAAGTTGTGCTTTTGTGTAAAATCCTATAACATAGTTAATTCAGTTACCGCAAAAGAAAACCCAATTAACACATCGATTCAAGTAGGAGAGGTGACGTGGATCCAAGACGGAGCTTTATGAGTTCACCAGAAAAATGTGTCAGGGTCAAAAGTGGTAATTGCATTAACAGGATGTTGCAATTTGGTTGGCCTCTTGGACATAATCGTTTGTCAGTGTGTGTGTGTGTGTGTGTGTGTGTGTGTGTGTGTGTGTGTGTGGACTCACTTGGTGGGAGGCAGCTCTGTGAGGCTAGAGTTGTACTTGTTAAGAGATTCCTCACGTTTTCCTGTAAAGTCAAGCAACAATGCAGCATGCTGTTATTATAAATCACCCACCAACATGCTAACGTGATGTTTCACACGTTAAAAGCACAACTACCTGATTGAAGGGCACTTTTTCTGGCAGCAGATCGTGATTTTACACTGATATTCACCGGACTAAGTATTGCGATAGATAGCCAACAAGTGCAGATGTAGAAATCCAGCATACACAGAGCAACATTAGCATAAGCAGTTCTTGAAATGTTCAAACCAACCCCAGCGAGAATTATTCTCCTGTGAGTGACTTAGAGCGTTTTCACTAGAGGCACAGTTGTTTCGTACCGTGCCTGAGCCCGCTGGTCTGCGTTCACATTAGTGGCATGGTTCCGTACCCGAGTACAAAGTCTGATACAGCAGGTGGCAGTGTGCACATAGTTGGTTTTGCAAATCTGCCACAAAGCAGACAGAAGAAGAAGCAACCATGGCAACCGCTTGCGGCCTGAGTGCATCCTGCTAACTGTGGATGTTTTTATTTCTGACACCCCAACAACGACCCTCTTTCTACGTCCACATGTACCGTGCAGCTAAGTAGACGAAACGGGGCCGTGCCGTGTTTACACGACGGTTTTTGAAGCGACAGGAGCCGTTTAGAATGATGTCATGTAGCGGTTCCATTCTTTGTTTATGCACGATTGCGTTCGCATGTCACACGGATCATACTCAAGTACACATGAATCCCAAGACCACCTCTTCAAGCGGACTCAGGCACGGTACCCGAGTACAGTACGCACACTGATCAAATCAACCGGACTTTGGGGTCAAGTAAACTCTGATCCGGGCCCGGGTCCCTAATGTGAAACCACCCTTAAGTGACTGCTTCAGTTACCGTATTAATACAAGTAAATAAAACTGGAGAAACCTGTTTTTGCAAAAGAACCCTACACTTGTAAAAAAAAAGTGCACTTGACTGCTAGTGGTGAAAACTCTCAAGATACCAATTTGAGAATTAAGTTGATAAAGTTCCAGCTAAATAACAAACACAAGCACAAAGTGACACATTGTACACAAGTATTATAAACACACACACACACACACACACACACACACACCTGTGTCGGTGCTTGACCTGCTGTCTTGCCAATCCAGACTTCTTCGTCCTTTCAGAGGCCCAGAGTTCTTCAAAACAAATGAAGTTAATTCAAATTAGATCGGATCATAACAAGAACAACAAACCGATGATTTTCATGCAAATGACCAAACTGTAATGATCTTTCTCAATATAAATCGTCCACCTTGTTTGAGGGTGCAAACGTTGAGGCAGTTTTTGTCTGGGAGATTCCATTCTGCACGGCGGGGGGGTCTGAGGAAGCCGGTAACCTGGAGAGACTTCTGGAAGGAAAACAGACCTGATCAGCCAAGCCAAATGTTTTCTAATCTGTTGCCTCCAACATTAAATTAAGCTGTGCAAAATGTCCTCAAGTGGCCAATTAATAAATAGTCCTGAACAAATTTAGACATGCATTTATGACTATGTAACAGACACAAAAGGTGCGGAGGTTATCCACCTGTCTGACCATATTTAAGCTTCATCTTTTAAGAATGTTGAAAAAATCTATTCAGTGTGTGTGTGCATTCCAAAAAGAAGTACAATGTCAAACTTTTCCATTTGTCTCACCTTGACCTCTCTGAGGTTAGCGTCCTTCGAGTCTCGCTGGATCGCATCTCTCCGTCAGCCTTTTCCTCATTGGTCACATTTTTCAGGTAACGCTTGGCTACATTGTTGCACTCTTTTCTGGCCTCCTCGCTAACAATATTCTTCGTCAACTCATTGGGACTCTTACTTTCCGTCTCTTCTTTACACGATCTGGACGAGCCCCTCTCCCTGCCCCTCTGGGTCCCTTCTTTGCTTTCAGAGCTGTGTGTTGGTTCATTGGTTGGTCTATTGGGCCTCTCTGGTTCCTGACCTAGACTCTTGGTGAGAGACGTCAGACTCTGCTGGCTCTCCTTTAACTCCCCTCTCAGGGTAACCAGTTGGACATCAGCCTCCTTCAGTCTCTGCTGGGCAGCTGCCAGCTCCCTCTCCACATCCTTGTGTGCCGTCGGAGCGCAGTCAGCTCTTCTTCTGCCTCGGCTCTCAGACGGTCTGCCACAGACACCGCCACCTGTAGGTCAGCCTGGAACTGCAGCCATTCCCCACGTTCTGTCTGGAAAGGAAACACCGTTACACCAACTTATAAAGAACCTTTTTATTTCGAGCATTTAAATGTGTGGCAATTTGGTTCTTTGGGAACTTTTATTGTTCTGCATGTGGTCATAGTGATTCCAATTCCAACATCTCATTGCTTTCTATGATTATTTGACCTTACGATGGCCAAAGATGAAGTTACAGGCTCACCAACATCTTTAAATTCATCCTGAGCTGCTAATGTGGCCAACATCTAGCTGTTTTTTCATCACAGTGTAAACAACTGACTCATGCCTCTACACTTAAATAAGCACAATTATACTGTGAATCAAACAACAGATTAAAAAAAAACAACCTGGCAATTTAAAACCCAGACATGAATCCCAAAACAAACAGAACTGAACCCTGAGCAGACCATGAGTATTGACTAACAAACAATGAAATAACTGCTTTGCCCTTCATTAGGAGAAGTTGTACTGAAGTGAGTGGCAAGCCTCAGCAGGCACAGAGAAGAAGAAGAAGAAGAGCTGGCAAGTCAACTGTAATGAGGCATAACTGAATAGTGAAAAGGTTTTTGCTTTGAGTGTCATGTCATCTAAAATCAACTTAATGAGAATGTGTTCTAAAAGGACGCCAAACAAGTTTGGACGAAAAGAAATGTGTGTGCAATATTTTGATGCAGGGCCAAGGTTGCATTGTGAAACTGTCTTGTGTGTCACCAACACTTTAGCTAAAATCTCAATAAAAGCGTTTTTTGTTTCATTTTCGTGGTAACCTAGAAAAATAGCCGGGTGGTCAGGGGGACCACTAACCCTTACTCTGGCAAGGAATGAGTAATAGCGTTCCGTTTTTTTTATTTCTAAGGAGTATTATTGCTTCAGACATACAAAAACACCACCCCAGACGTTGAGCCAATTCCACTGCCACATTACAGTACTCCAACAGTAAAGTACAAAATGAGGGTAACAAAACCCCCCAAAATTAGGTAATCATCAAGATATATAGAAAGAGGGCATGAGAAAGAAGGGAAAATACAGACAGGACCATAAAAGTGGCAATAATCATGCAAAGATTTATTACTAAATGTTGAGCAATGTTAACCAGAGAGATGTGAAAAAATGTGGAGGCACTGGGAGGCTGGGTAATTAAATGAAGAATGGATGGAGATGTGGAGGAGGAGGCCGTCACTGAGCCAAGTCGCTCTCTCATCTGACCAGTGACTCAAGACCACAGCTGGACCCGATTACAGTCCATACACACACAAAGGAGGAACACACACACATATCGTATTCCCTTCTTGTCTCCCACACATACACCTCCATTATTTCCTCAACTCACCACTAAAACCACACTGTGAGGGTTTTCTATTACATTCAGGCTAAGTTGGAGCGCTTCCTTCCTGGCAACATTTTGTCAAATGAACAGTGGGATCGCCATCTCTGTTAGGAGACGTTCTATATTAAGAAACTTTCAAGCTTTTTTTTTTTGTTATCTGGATGCGCACACTCCAACTAGAGCATGTCTGTTTAAGGAAACAGGAAGGGACGCTCCTCACTTCACACTGAGATAAGGGTGGGTACTGTCAGTCTTAAGACACACACACACACACACACACACACACACACACACTCTTCTACTCCCACAAGAGCTGACCTAGTGCCCCACTGCATGACCAGATGTGGTATCTGACATCCACAGGAACACACACAAAGATACACTTGTCCACACAATTGATGCACATCTGAGTCCCTGACATTCTTGGTAAGGGTCCAGCACAATGGGGATTTAGTCAGAAGTCCAAGGTGTGTGTGTGTGTGTGTGTGTGTGTGCGTGTAGGTCTGTGTTTTATCCGTCAGTCCCTAGTTCAACTCCACACCCATTCTTTCTAATACATACTTGAGGAAACATCTAAATTCTGTAAGGGCTCCTCTCTCCAGCTTTCCACAGCCTGGGGTGTGTATACAGAAAGGGTTAAATACATTTTACACTTATTAAAGGGCATTCATGTTGCTCCCGCTGCGTCTTCGGGGGGCATATGAAATTGTGTGAATATAGTACCGTATTAAGTTTCTTTTGATTGTCAATTTACATAGCAACCTCTGCCATCAGTGTGAGTGGGTAGGTGTAAAAAGTGCTTTGAGTAGTCAGAAGGCTAGAAAAGTGCTATACAAGCTCCAAGTCCATTTAGCATTTACAAATGGATGTATACCCTGTGAATGGCGCACAATTGCTTTTTAAACCTTTAAGTTGCAGACATAAAAAACAGGGCGCCCAAGTCACTTTAATCTATTCTGTGCTGCAATATGGACAGTATGTGCACAAGCTCCCTATTCCAACCCTCCAAAACAAATCCCTATTTGAACAGCCTTCCAGTCCTCAGGAAACAGCGCCTTTTTGGGTCTGGGCTTCTGGAGCATTCTACCAGAAAGAAAAGAAAGACAAGACTGAACCTGGAAATCTCCGGCAGCGTTCACCTGGAACTGATTCCAAAGCTGCTTTCAGATTGACTCAATCTTCAGAAGGGAACAAAAATCTGACCAGCCCCCCACCCCCCCCCCCCCCCCCAAGTGTTTTCATTCTTGTTGGTTAAGACAATTCCAGACTGGTGGTGCACAATAAGCACAGACAGATGGTTACATCGGCTGAAATTCTCAATACTTGACTGCACATTGGGTAATCATGCCTGTTTTTCTGAATTCAGTTGCATTGAAACTACCTTACGTCTGTGACAGACAAGGACTGGAATATATCCATGAAGAAAGATGAGGAGAGGCTTTAGAGACAACCTGAGGCAGGAAGAATGATGGCTTCTTAAATAACATGGAAAAGAAGGTCAAAAAAAGGTGGGGGCTAAGAAATTAAGGTTCAAGCAAGTTGGGGGTCACATAAGATGGATGGAAGTGAAGAAGCAAAGCAGGAAGTAAGGAAGCAGGAAAGAGGAGGGGTGGGTGGAGGAAAAGGGATAGAGCAGGGGAGATGAGATATGGCCTTTTAGTATGCACAAAAACTCCTGAAAATGCACCTACATTTGTGGTAGCATGTGTTGCATTTGTGAATGAAAATGGCTCTGGAAGGTTTCAGGAGTGCATGTCTGTGTGCAGCAAAATAAAGGGTAATTGTTTTGGGCTCTTTTGTTGGAGGCGGAGTGGTCAGAGTGAATGAGCAAAGGAAGAAAAGACAGAGAGGCACAAGAAGGGAGGCTATGAAGCTAAAAGTAATGGCAGCAGTCGAGACTTTCAGTGCAAAAGAACGTGTTTGTGAGGGTTTATGTCTCACGTGCAGCACACACACATGAACACATGGCCTGTCAGACACTGGGAGCTGCAGCCCCACTCCCCCAACCTCGTCACACAGCACAAAACAAAACAAGTTTTGTCTCCTGAACAACCGAATGTAAACCCCCTCCTCTGCACTGCATTCCCCTTCTCTAGGCTTTCCACACAAAAAAAGGCTCCCAGGAAAGCAGAGCAGGCTGAGGAGGTTCATAAAGTCGAGCTTTGCTAGCTTAAATTTCTCAACCAAGGGCCCATGTAAACACAGTGCTGGATTACACCGACTTCTAATACACAGCCACTTCATAGTGATACCATACCACAATCTGTCTGAGGTCTAGCTGGCCTTTACATGGCTTATATTTCCAAGTAACTTGTAAGGATGTTAGGAAAGTGTAGGAGAGAGTAAGGAAAAGGAGGAAGCAGGGACTGAATATCAAGTTGAGAAAGAGGTGACACAGAGTGCTTGCTTGCAACATAATGGAATTAAAGTGATTCTGATGAATGACTGACTCAAAGTATAACAGAGGTTACGTCAGTCGCAGAGGAAAGAAAAGACTTGGGATTGTCCGAGGCATTCTGCGTGTCATATCGCAGCTGTTGTAATCTGTGGCAGATCTGGAGGAAACTGGGAGCCTCTGGCTTCAATCCTCATAAGGGAGGGTCAGGAATTGGAACGGAACGACTGACAGGAAATTACCGCAGCATATCACCATCCTCATAAGAGCATGAAACGCCCAAGCAATAAGAATGAAGACGGCTTTGAGAGGTTTTGCTCTGAGTTGTGTATGATGATTATTTCAACTTTTGGTTTAGAACTTAATAATTAGTTAAACCGAGATATGGGACGAGCATCCTCTGCCGCTGTCATAAGGAGTAAAGCAAGCGTGCGTGATGTACGCTTAACGTCAGGTCACTTCAACAATTAGGCAACACATGAATCTTTGTAACAATCAAGATACCTGTTCCGTCTCTTTTCTGTTTTCAAGATTTATTTTTAGGCTTTTTGCCTTTATTTGATAGGACAGTGGACAGAGCAGGAAACTGGGAAATAGAGTGGTAAATGACATCATTCAAAGGAGCCAAAGGTCGGACCCGAGCTCAGGCCGCCCCCTCAGAGGACTACCGGCTCCCTACCCAACCTAACCGCTAGGCCATCTGCGCCCCTGATCTGTTCTCTCTTCATACACAGCCACAACAACTCTACCCCAACTCTACAAGTATGAGCAACAAGAAACTTCAACAGAAGATGATCTCAATGATTTTCCCCTTTCTGGCCTCTTTGAATAAGCGGAGCACAGGAAGACCTTAATTAGTAGAGCTGCAGCTCCCAGTGGGGCCCACTCCAAGACCTATAGAGACAGTGGGGTTGGAGGTTTGGGGAGGGGTAAGGTTGTGTTTTGGTTTTATCTTGTAGATGAAAGGTCACCAGAACTACTCTGACTTATTGGAGTGTATGACATCCTGTTTACATTGCTCTACTAATCCACCTCAGTCTCTCAAGTGTGTCAGAAGACCTTCTGAATGATTTGTGAAAACTTGGACTGTAGATACTTTAAAAATACATTTCATTTGCAAAGGCAAAATCAATTTCAAAAAGGGACATTATCCCCATATTTTGAGCTATCTGTAAAAAAGGACTTCTCTCAATAAGCAAGCAATCCCCAATTTATTGGAGTTTAGCTGTTAGCTGTTTTTAACACTTGTGGCTAGCTACTTCAGCTAATGCTTGCTTGATGAGTATTTTTGAAAACTTTTGATCAATCAATCATTTTTTTGTACAGCGCCTACTCATAGCAAGCGTTATCTCGAGGTGCTTTACAAAAGAGCAGGTAAAAGACCAAAGACGTCAAGAAAAATGGGATTAAAAAAAACGTAGTCCCTAAAAAGGTTTGAATGTTATAAGATGACCTGTGTGATATTTGATGGCTATGAATGTGATACTAAGTGTTGTACCGCAACCAAAGATTATTAGGAGAAAATGAAAGGATATTTTAACATGCATGTTCTTCCCCAGCTCTGGGGAGACAGAGCGAGAGAGACAATGGGAGCACATTTCTACATCCAGACAGCAGGACGTGTGGACCCACCATGGGTAGGGATTGACTTTCAGGCAAGAGGACTGAGTGATAGAAAACAGTCTGTGTTTATCTGCCAGTCATGCTCTTTCACCTCTGCTGATGGACACCTCACATCCACACTGCCAATGTGTTAGCTTGTGTGTGTGTGTGTGTGTGTGTGTGTGTGTGTGTGTGTGTGTATTAGTGTTTGTTTCGCTGTGTTCATGGCATGAAACAGCTTGTGTGTAACTCTGAAAAGGACATAGAATTAGATATATCTGTGAGGACCCGACCTACCAGTCACAACTCAAGGCCTAACAGGCTAAACAGTCTGGTCAAGAGCTGGACAATTGTTGCATGTGTACCTCCTAGGATTGTCACAATACCGCAATTACATTTTAATATGATACTAGCGATATCAAACAATATCAATATCAATCGCGTTTCAAAACACGGCAAAAACAAAAAAAAAAGTCAGAGTCACCTCAAATTAAGAAATGTCAGGTTTTATGTTGCCAAAATGTGCAAGCAAACTCCTCCTTTAAAAACAGATAACCTTTTAAGCAAATCTCACCTGAAATGTACTCTTCAGACTCTTTACTTCTGCCAGCAGATGCTTCAGTATCTCTGAGGGATGGATACAGAAATGTCAGATGACATCACGTGCATTTCAGAAAATTAAAATATCAAGGAATGAGATTCTACCTTCTTCTGTAAACAGGGAAATGTTAGGTCAAAAAGGCACATTAAAGGAGATATTGAGTCTTATTATTACTGTCATATAACCCTTACCTGTTGTGTTGTTGGTTGCATCCTGACTTGCAGTGATACCGAGAGCTGTCCTACACTCCTCCAGCAGCCTCCTCAGTTCCTCCCCTTGGCTATCTGCAGCTTCATGAGCGTGCAGTAAAGACTGACTCAGGCCACTGTCCCTTCCTCTCCAGTTCTTTCCCGAAGAGCTGACCCCCAAAGGTGAGGCACTGCACTGAGAGGAGGGGGCCTTTGTCGGGCTGACGGTAACAGTACGACTTTGTGAGACAGGAGTCCGAGGGGTGGAGGTAGGGGGACCCCCATTCCTCCCCAGAGAAGCTTGTCTTTTAAAAGCAGTGTTTCCCGGATTGTTGAGAACGGGGTGAACTCCATAGCCGACGCTGGTGCTATGTGAGCCGGCTGATGGTTGAGGCCTCCACTCAGGACGAGGACAGGCAGTTGTAGGGTTGGTGCTGGATTGTGCTTTCTTCACGCTAGGTGTGAGGCCTGGGACTGGGACCGGGGGTGGAGGTGATGTTGGGGCTGCAGGGGGTAGTTTGGGTGAAGTAGGGTGAAGGAGTTGGGGGACACCAGGTATGAAAGAAGGCTCATCACTCTGCGGAGAAGCAGGGGGAGTGTGGAAACTTTCCCCATGGGCCACTGGAGGAAGGAAACATGAAAATTCAGACAAACTGATTAATTAACGCTGGATGAATGTGAAACAAGCCAGCTGGTGTCAGACTCTTCACACACATCGTGCTGCACAGCAGAGGTCAAAGGTCAAAGTAAAGTCACAAGAAACTACATTTTGAGTGGAGGGGGGGGGGGGGGGCTTGATTATGTTCCTGCTACAATTGATGGTGGGAGACAAAACAGATTGAAGGATCTGCCTGAGCAGCTACGTCGTGGATAGAATAATATAGTTAGAAAACATTGCATTGGTCACTGGTTTGGCATGTTGACACTGAAAGCACCATTCAGTGAGGTGACCAGAGCAGCAAGGACCTCATTAGCCAGGAAACATGCCGGGCCTGGCCCCTGAAGATGAATGCTTTCATAGAGACATTCCTCTTTGACTTTTCACCCACAATGTTGCTGTGACATTCATTCTCCAAATTCAGAAACAAACACATACAGGGGGGGATAATTTCCCATTATAGCTTAGATTGTAGCAGTTGGCTGTGAATAAATGTCCAAACTTGACATATTAACACAAATAGTTTTTTAATCCCTTCCCCCCCGTGAGCATCACGCCTCTCTTTCTTTCCTCCGATTCCTTGTTTGGACAAAAGACTCACCGCAAGCAATACTTGTGTTTTCTTTCAATGAAATGATGTAAGAGCAGCAGTCGAACATTCCCAAAGAAGTTCCACACCACCTGCTCTTAGGTCCAATCATTGGGAAAGAATGACAGGATTGTCTAATAACTTTCTCATGCCAGCCCCTGCTTTTTTTTATTTTTTTTTTATTTCTTCATTCCAGACCTTTTAATGTGTTCGTCCAACCGCGGGTGGCAGACTGACTGAATGAGAGAATGTGTGTGTGTGTGTGTGCGTTCACTGAGGTCCGTGTGTGTCGGCTAGCATTAGGCTTCCTATGATTAATCCGCTGCCCTTGTGCTGAGCCGAGGAATTCTGCCGATTCATCACAGCTGGCCCCAGCGAGGCCAGAACGAATCACAGGGGGACGCGAGGAGAATGACCACTCACTGAGCGACACACCGGAGGGCTGCCAAGATTCCCGCTGCCGCACACACACACACACACACACACACACACACACACACACACACACACACACACACACACACACACACACACACACACACACGCACAGACTTTCTGCTTTTGTTGCCTTCAATTTCCTGATTACCCCTAATCCACCTCCCCTTTATACAGTCTTTATAGCATCCTCCTTCATCTATTTGTATTCTCTTTTCCCATGAACCACCCTCCTGGCACTACATGTACTACCCAAGCCTTCAGGTGCTTTTATCTAAGAAAAGAAAAAGAAAAAAACACTCACACCCACATTAACAGACACATTGCCAGGTGTCTGTGTGCACTGCCAAATATTTGAAAACCAAGAAGAATATTTCAGAAAGTCAGAAGACAATTCATGGGGAGTGACTACAAGCAAGAGCTGGTTTTGAAAAAGGAAAATAAATTGCAGCCTCATGAGGGTGTGTAGTGTGTGTGAGTTTGTGTGTGTGTCTGACCTACCTGTGGGTCCATGGCCGTCCTTGCTGGAAAAGTTGCCCATACTGCAGTAATGGGGTTTGGGCCACTGATGGTGCCCTGCAGGTGCTTGTTGCTCTTTCACTCAGCCCAGACCAGAGTGGCACAGTGGAGGTGACCTAAACACACACACATCCACACACCCACACCCAGCCGACTAAAATGATGGATGAAGTCATGCACTGTTACACAGCTGAGAAATAATCCAGTGACTTTAAGCTCCGGACAGAAGAACCCTGATTCCCCCACAAAGTTGGAGATAGACTGAGGGCGGTTACAGGAAGCTCGTGATGCACATTTGAATGATTGGAGTAAACCAGTGTGTTTACACAGTTATGTGTAATCACAGGAATGAGTAAGATCAACCGCATGAGGACATGATACAGAGTGACCATAAGTGTTCTCATCCATATAATGTATCCATTAAACTGTAGCCTGCACACGAGACGATTTACGCCCAGAACATCCCGCCATATGGAATACAAACACTAGTCCAAGTTGGCAAACTACATTTCCCACGAACCTCACAAAGGCTCTGTATTTAATGTAACGGTACAGACTTCAGCGCGCTATCTTAACATTTGCATAAAAGCCGGAATTAAGTGTGCATCACTGAGAAACGTGTTGAGAAAAGTCACTTTTAACTCTGCGCCTGCTGCAACAAAACCAGCTCCTATACTTTGTATACCAAACAAAACAAAAAAAAAGTTTGTACAGACCCTTCAAAGTTGACAAATAAATCCCAGGTCCCTTTGTTCGCAGTTTGTTGAGCTCTCCTCCACGCTATGCTTGTTTCAGGGCTGCTCAGCCGAGCGCACTGTCCCGCTGTGTGCACACAGAGAGGGAAGGAGGACTCACGGACGACCGCAGCTGCTTTCAGCTCACAACAAACTTTAATCCCAGTTTACATTTTGGAGTTGGAAATTTCCCCAAAAAGTGGCAAAAATCCAATAGCAATGCCGGACTGATACAACCAAGAGTGAGAGAACTCTGAACATCCCTTAGCGATGAAGACGATGTGTACTGTATTGCGTCCACTAGAGTGCGCAGTTGAGCTACGTTTGGGATAACCTGCTTCCACTGGAATGACTTCTGGCCATTTACAGTCAATGGTTCTGGCCCCTTTTTCACTTAGCTTTTGACTTTCATTAAAGCCAGAATCTCTTTCATGATATGACCAGGGGTGTAGTGCAGGGTACACGGTTTATACCCACTTATTTTTCAGTCTCCATAGGGTATATCCAATTTAAATGCCCTCTGATTCACATCATTGATTGATTGACATTTTTCAGCAGTACAGCTGCTATCTTCTCCCCTACAGTATGGTGAAGAGATGACCTTTCCTACTCTGTCTCTAATTGGCTAATACACACGCAATGAAAAAAGGAAATCTCCCATTTTGTGAACAGAAGCTGTCAATCCTCAACTGGACGGGACACTTAACAAAAAAACGGCTGTTCTTCATGACTCTGGTTCTTCTTGAGGGTTTCTGCCTCTTCAAAGGAAGTTTGTCTTTGCCAGTGTTACTTTGCTCAGTGCTGTGCTCATGATGGATTCACGTGATGTCTTTGTAGATAATATAACAAAGATTAAAAGGTCTTGTGATAACATTTGTTATGAATTGGTGCTATACAAATCAAGATTGATTGATTGAAATCTTTGACCTACCTTGGATGTTATCTAAATTCTGAAATCTGCATGCCATTCTCTTGAAGCCTAATTATAGCAAACAGCATGTTTTTCACTTTGACTAAAACATTAATTCATTAAAAACACAATTTCACAACACAATGATGAGACTACTGTAAGTGCAACAGAAGAGTTTTCCAAACGCTTTTATTTTATTAATCTCTTCCAACATCAATTCATTAAATGTCAATTACATTGCTAACAGAACAAACATCTCTTATTAAACAGACACAGCTGAACTCAGCTTATTAGACTTTGACAAAGGAACTAATGTGTGACACACACCACTCGCTAACAGATGAATACTGAGCTTTCGAACATTCCCCCTTGTATTTTATTCCAACAGCTAACATGTTTCCACATTATTTTCTTTCTGTCAGTGTGCCGTCCTCCAGGTTCCCCTTCATACAAGGTTCAACACTTGAGTGAAATAGGAAGTTTGCTGCAGTGGAGACAAGCTCTCCCTCACTCTCTGATTGAGATCAATCGGTTTTCAGAGTGCTCTGTGCTCACTGTGCACTGCTGCAGTATAGAGAGAATCTATCAAAAGCAGCCAGGTGTGTTACACAACCTCCATCGCCCCTTCTACATTGATTTCACACTTACAGTACAGCGGAGCAGAGCCTGGATGTGTATAGGATGAAGATCTGTGCCAACATACTTTCAGATTTGTATTTCAAATACGATCATGTTGACTCATGAGTATCTTATCCACAACAAAGTTTTATACGTCCATTTATCCTGTATTTTTTCCTCCATGACTCAGAGCATCCTGTTGTTTCTAAACCCATCACAACCCCATCATGAGATTATTCATGGGTGTCAGTCTCCGTCCAGAGAAGGGTGACCAATTGTTCTGTGCCTGATGCCAGTTGGAGCCATTAGCCGCCCTTGCTGAGTGGATTACGATCATTTTGTTGGTGACCTACTGCTTGAGCATTCTGGAGGGCCACTATCAGGACTCTAACAACTTGCAACCTCCTACAACTAGCTGACAATCCAATTTGGCAGAAGGATGGAGACAAGTCTTCAGCAATGAAGGATTTCGAGGTCTGGCTGACCCTTAAGTGATGAAACACACAACTTTCTCGCCATTCTACTTTTTCACCACTTTCAGAATATTCCGGAAAGAGTACCTCTGACTCATTCCATTTGGTCTTTGTGGATCCTCGTTTTTATTCTCTATGCTGCTCCTTTTCTTTATTCAAAGGCAGAATAGATAACCCTGTGCTATCCTCAAGGCACGGCACACATTCTCAACCACACTCAACGTCTCGCCACATCCCAAGTCCCTTTTTTACAGGCTACATTTTCGGTGTTAACAAAAATGGAAACACCAATCGCATGGTCTATAAATCCATCTATGACAGTGGGATGAATGGTGGACACTGCAGGGGGAATGGTGCAAAGTTAGGATGCACAGGGACTGAAGGCCTACGACTCCCAGGTCTTTGTCTCTAATACCGGATTAAGTGTTTGATTATGTTTGCCAGGAGTGATTTCCCACCTGGGGTAATCTCCACAGAGGACACACGCTTATCCACGAGGAATCGCCATTTTACCTTTGCTGGCCTGACCCCTGCTGTGACTCAGCACGGTAAATTTGGATTCGTAATCTATCAAGGAGTGTTGAAGAGTTGTTTACATGACTCAGGTTTGGATGGAAAATACACTTGACATTCTTCTGTTACAAGAACTGTTAAATTCTACAAACCTGTCCTGCCAATCTCTATTATTCTTTCAATGCTCTGAGCACCCTCAAAGAGAAAATAACTTAACTCAACAACAGAAAGAACCAGTCACTGATGATTCAAAGCTGTTCTGTTTCTTCTATAGATTTGATTGACAGTTGAAGCCAGACAATTGACAATGCCAGCAAATGCCAATGCTTGTTGATAAATGGCACCTGCTTCTCCTCAGAGGAAAATCAATTGAAGTCATGGGCAAAGATGGGCTGTCTGATACTTAAACATGGCTGGCAGGGAAAGGGGTGGAAAGTGGGTGTACAGAGAGACAGAGAATTGCCAACCATCTGTGTGCAGAAGGGCACTGCCAAGCGTCAATTCCTTTTTACGCCATGCCTTGGAAAGACACATAATGTCTCCAAATTGAACATCTTCGCTCCTTCAATACATTCAGCTACAGTCTTTGGGAAGTTCCAGCATTATAGCATACTCATTCAACTATTTATAATATTCATGTACCGTACATACCTCATAGTGCACTGCAGCTGCTAACATTTGTGTCTAATTTATTCATTTATTTGTTGTGTGCTTATCTGTTAGCGTTTGATCTATTTTTTTACGTGTCATACAAGACATCCAACTTCCTGACAAGAAAGGTTGAAGTGGGTCAAATATCCACACCTGCACAACACAAGAGAGCACATGGGCCTCACTTCAGTGGGCCAGCATAGCTACAATCTCGGACCTGTGTTAAGTGTAGTTACTCAAACTCAACCCGTGCTGTCAGCCAATCTTCATCCAAGCCAGCACAGGTTATTTCACTGGGACTTTCTGGCCAACGAAGGAGAGAGGTGGGATCTCCTGGTAGGCACCAGCCCGGCGAGTAACATCCTGGAATGGGTTCCTATGGGGAGCCGTGCCCACCATGCTGGCATCAGTGTGTGTGCCGACTAACTGCAGCACCCGAGCAGAGGGCCTGTGGTGGAGGGCCAACTGCCTGGAGCTGTAGCCACACATCCCGATCCCCAGGGCCCCCAGCAGCATGGCCATGCCTGGCATGGTCTTCTCAGCTGGAGGACTCATGGCCACATTATGGTAGGCCTGGGTCTGGAGAGGGAGGAAATGGGACTTTATCAGAGGAATGTTAGATTTTTGTAGTCCAGAAATACCAGAAACAACACTTCTTGGCAAACAATTAACAAAAAGTGATGATTTATTTTAAAAAATATACATAAATTAGGATCAATTTAAGGCCTTGTAGCCAATTTCTAAAACATAGAATGAGTAACCTATAATAAGCACCCCTTCTCCCTCACTCCATCCTTCACTCCCACCAATCTTTGAGAGATTAAAAACTCATCTCCCCTCATTTAGCTAAAAGCGGTGTATCTCTTTTGACAAACAAAAAGCTCGTCTGTTTTGCGACATGGGTTATTTCCTTGGAGGGCCCTTGACAATTATAAAAAGCATAGGAGTAAATAATAATAATAAAAAAAAAACCCTCATCATTTCTAATGGTGCTCTGTCACAGACAGTTAAGAAGCCATTCCTGTAGCTCAATCACCCGGTTCCCATTTCCATTTACAATGCATTGGACTGTCACAGACTCTGATTTCTCAATTGTCTGTGGTAAACACCAACGAAGAAGTGATTGTGCTTTGTGTGCTCTAACAAAGGGCTATTGTTACAAAAACAGAATTCTGGAGAAAGCTCATCTTTGTGAATAGTGTGTATAAGCTATAACAATACTGTATTAATCATCTTGTCACAACTACCTTGGACTTCGACTGAGAGAGAGGCAGCTTAGTGAAACCAACTTTCTGAATATACTCATTGTTGGTTAACTTCTGAACGTGCCAATGAAACCTTGAAGACACCTTATTAAATCAATGGCTTCTTTCACACTGTCAACATTATTTGATCTGCTGCTTTTTTCTACTGTTTAGTGGCCTGTATAGACAGAGCATGGTACTTTTACATAGACTAAAACTCCAACGCATTGCGAGGGCTGTTGCAACTTCTTTTTATTGTTTTAAAGGCCATAAATCAGAACAAATTTCCTTGATATAGAAAAATAGCAATAACGTGGATACGCTGTTGCCATTCACATATTCACGGCCAAGAAACTTTTAATGACTCAGCACTTTACTTTCCCGCTAACTGGTATTTTATACGGTTTAAGTGTCAACTGAGAGTATACAAATAGAGCACATGAAAAATGTATATGTGGTTACATGTACTTGACTCAAATTATTGTTCAACTTATCATACCTTATATATTCACAGATGTTCAATACAACAGCAATTAAACGACAAATCCCACTCACCTGCAGCAGCCTGATGTATCCAGGCGTCAGTCTTGGGAGTCTGAAAAACATCTCGGAGCGTTCCACAATGCTGGTTAATCAAAACGAAGTATAAAGCAAAATAGCACTCGGCACCCTCTCTCTCTCTCTCTCTCGCTCTAGCTCCTCTTCCTGGATTCCCAGGACAGGGAAACCCACAGACAGTGGGGCCGTCCCTATGTGTGAACTCTTCAATCCCTGCTCAGGTGTCTGAAGCAGGAAAGCCTCATTCACTCTTATAACAAGTCCTGGCTGTTGTTACATAACATTTAGTCTGCAGGTGGTTTGTCTAAGGGGATTACAGGAGAACACATAGGGACAAAGAAGTTGATCTCAACAAAAAGAAGGTTGTGTGGGGTGTGGCGGTGACTGATTCCTCGAAAGTCATAAAATCAATGGGTTGTAACAATTTACCAATAAAGTTTATTTATCAAACCAATGGAATTCAAATTTTTGTATACATGTTTGCAGAGTTCTGTCCGATGCACTTTTAAGTTCACTTTATCGAACACAAAATTTGTTCTGTATTTTGCGACTTCATGATAAAAACATGTATACATAAAGTTCTTATTCTTATCAGTAAAGTGAATATTTCAGCCATACCATCAAATTATTATAGATGGTATAAATCAATGCACAAAATAATTGCAGTATGTGAGTGCAGGGGACAGGTAATAGTGGCATAAGGCCATTTCAATTCTTTGGACATTATTTAGGAATCTTATGTTTTTCTGTTGGTTTGAAGCATAGACTGTAATATTAATGGACGAAGCCTGAGTCTCGTCACCCATCTGTTAATGCAGGGGTCTCCGGAGGCTTATCGGCAGCGGCCGCAATGATGGAAATTCGGTCTCAGCCTAACTTTCAGTCAACCTAATGATAGGATGAGAGCCGGAGCTGAGGTGGGGTTTAAGCCTCTTCACAAACCGTTATATCGTGCCAACCCGTCAATCAGGTCAGATAGGCATCTAACTATGGATAACACATATGGTTTTTTTAAATCAAAATGGATACGTTATAAAAAAAAACAGCCAGTGTGTGCTGATTAAGACAATTACTAATAAGACCTATTTTGTTTTTTTTGAACAAGGCTGTATACACGTTTATTCCTGCTGATTTTGAACATCAGCACTGGCTTCATTTTTCAACACCCAAGGTTGCCGCTTTGTTTGAAGGGATCAAAAGCAAAATGAGAAATGAGAAGAGATCTCAGGTTTAGTACGGTACATTATTACTGTAATTTCACCTTATTCTGACTTCAGTCGTTCCTTTGCTTTCTCCACAAAGCTTTGATTATTGGAACTCAGAACCGCTAGAATGGCATCATTTAAATGTTTTTCTGTATATGTTAAGAAAAGCTTCTCCTGCCATGTCAGCAACTTCTAAGCTTTAATATTCTCCCAGGCCTGGGGGGTCCTAAACTCAGGGTAAAGGTTATTATGAGATGGACGTGTGGATAACGTATCTCTCTCTGGAAGAGATGAATTCTCTCCAAAGAGAGCAGCCAACATGATCTTCTCATCTCTGTTAAGAGGACACAGCCCTAATACTGCAGAATAATAATGCCTCTGAATCTTATTAGGCTACTGCACAAACAGTCTTAAAGCATTGAACAAAAGCAGAAACACTCTGAATTCAACGCAGATGTAGCCTAAAGAAACCCATTAACAAGACTAAGAGGCTACATGCTAGCTGTTCTGTGAGGCTGTATTGCAGGTAAACAATTTGTGTATCAGCTAAATGCTAAGGCTATCATGCTAACATGTTCAAATAACATGCTGATGCTTAGTATTCCTACAATATTCATAATTTTAGTTTAGTGAGTTAGCATGCTAACATTTAATATACAGTAAACAAAAGGTGAAAGGAGGTAAATGGGAATGTCAATTGCAGGAATATTCACTAATTGTTAAGGACATTTAAACTGTGCCCCTATGGTGCTGCTAAATGAAAAGTTCAATCTGCAATAACAAATATTTTGGCCACACGGGGGCAGCAGAAACGAGTGGGCACACATTTGTAATGTATCTGTAGCAACACCTTTTCATTGAAGACTTACTGACAAGTTTGCTTTAAACACACAAGTGCAGATGCTTAAGGTAAACAACCAAGAGTCATTCTTCACTTTGGAGGGAAATCTTTTCTGCTGCAGCTGTGGCTAAGTGGTAGATTCAGTTATCTGTCAACCAGAGGGTCGGGGGTTTGAAGACCATCTCCAGCAGTCACGTCCTTGGCTGAATCTCAAGTAGCAAACTGCTACGTCAGTGGTGCGTGAATGTGTATGTATGGCATTAGTTGAGACTACATCCTCTGCCATCACTGTGATTTTAAAAAAGTGCTTTAGTCAGAAGACTACAAACACGCTTTCTATACAAGCTCAAGTCCATTTACCATTTTCCTTGCGAGGGGTTAAACAGGAAATGTCAAGGGTTGTTGAATTGACGCTCTTCTTTAGGTACTGTTAACACATATGCAAAATTTCATGGTAACTCATCTTAATTTTTTTCTGGGTATTTGAGTCTGAACCAGGACTTCATCAAATGGTAGGTTGACATCCAAGAGCCTCACTGCAAGCATGGTGACTGCATCAAAAATCACCTTTTTTATGATGAATATATCCAGATCAGGCACAATGTATACCCCTTATTGTGTCAATTGTAAAATATCTGCAGAATGAGCCCCGAAGCTGCTATCAGATACTTGACCGCGAGTAGAGGCCGCCCTTCTAAGTCCTCACTGCTGTAATACCCCTGACTACCTCAAAGCTGTGTGTTCAAGTGAACATTACGGAGAAACAACAGTTTGTCTAGAGCAGGTCTGCGACAGACTTAGTTCACTACAAAATCGATGTCCAGCTGAGATAATTCTCTGGCCTTTTTCCGAACTGATCCCCTGGCATTGAGCTAAGGGTCACAGCGTATAAGAATAGATTATCTGTCCTGTAGATAGGTTCTCAGACACAGAAAGATAGGACTCCCTGGTAGTTCTGGTTCCTTAAGTCCATCGACAACAAACTGTGCTGCTATATTGAGTTTACAGTTAGGTAAGATCAACGAGTGGTTGTGGGGATCATGTAATGATCATCTTCCAGGTGCAAAATAAATATCTGAAAGTGTTAGATTTAGATGTGTGGGACAGGATTTATATTTATATCAGTTAAATGTTAAATTCATGTAATCTCCATTAAACTGAAATGGGAGGGGAGGTAAATCAGCTCTGTTGAGAATCACAGATTCAAGCTTAACATGGTGGGTGAAAGGATTTTCCAAGGTCAGGATTACCTTGATTTGTTTATATTTGTAAAAGTCATGAAGTGGATTAAACAAAGGCAAAGAAAACATTTTTTAAATATTTTTTTCCAAATACAGCACAAATCCAACATTTTGAAATCCCCACAAAATGAATAAAACATTTCAAGAACTGTCTTGTTTAAAGAAATGGACAACAGTGAGAATAATCCATCAGTGGAGTTTCTTGTTCCAGTGTGACTGACAGTCTCATGGGTGCATTGTAGAAAGTCCTGTCTTCCTGTCGCTCTGCATGGAAAGAATGTCTGTGATCCAGTACTGGAAGAGTGATACGACTGCAGTGGTTTCCTCTAGAACATAAAGAGACGGAGAGAAACATTTTTAGTTACAGCTGCTGTTGCAAACAAAGAGACACATTTGCAGTTGTATTTTCAGCATAATAAATAAAAAAATCTCTGGTTCTCAACTTTACTCTCTGCCTCTTTCTTCATGTAGACATTTAACATAACAGACCAGTCTCTCTTCTAAGACAGTCTTCCCTCAATATACTCCTTGATATTCTAAAGCAAGACTCAAATCTTGTGAAACTATACTAAGTACAAAATGAGCAGTTTACGTATTTCATGGAAGAAACTTCAGGGTGCAGTAAAAATAATATCAGACCCTCACCTGCAGCCGATTGATTAGGTAGAAACAGAGAGTGAGGAGAGCTGCTGTAAATCAGTTCAAGAACTTTAAAAGAAAACTTCTCTACGAGCACATGGGGTAGCTCTTACTTGGCTGTGACTATGGGTAACATTCAAGAACAGAATGCTTCGTTAATGTTAATAAGAGAATATTAAATTATTTAAAATTGCCTTGTAGGAGACATTCATGAATGTGAAAAAACAAATACACCTCCAGTATCTTTGGAGAACATGCTTTGAAAGGAGAGACAAGATTCATCCGCAAGGATTTTTCTCTGATGAAAACCTACTGGCAGAGTTGAACTTCCAAACGTAGCATTAATCATACAATATGAGGCGTGTTCTGGGGGAGGGGTTTCAAAAGTGTTCAGCGGAGCAGTGGGTGGAGAGGGCAGGGACAGCTGAAGCAGGCTCGACTGTAAGCTCTGGTCTTGAGATGGAGAACTGTTTTCTACACAGTGTTGTCTTGGGGACAGGGACCTCAGGGGACAAGCGGAACTTTGAGGCGGTTGCCTGAATCTCCTGGCTAGTCTCTGTCGCTCTCTCCCCTCGTACACAAACACTTGAGTGTGTGAAGGCCGCAAAGTCCCTGCTGATCCAATTATGCAGGCAACTAGCCAACCATGTGAATGCACAAACACACACAAACACTCATGCTCAGGAGGAAACATGTCTGGATACTGTGGAGATGTTTTGGCATCATGGAACAAGTTGAAACATGTTAGTTAACTGCTGGTGGTGGTCACATGTACAGTCAGGTACAGGTTGAGGCCGTTGAGGGCAAGTGAGGGCAGCTATACTCGGGTGAACAATGGGATCAATCTTAAAATAGCGGAGAAAGCAAGCACAGGCAGACAATGGCGTGTATTAACCTGCAGAGACAGGTCAGTGAGGTTTCTAGGGCAGATCTGAACAAGAAGAGGCCGATATGGACAGGAACAGGCATGAATGTAATTGTGATGTTTTGACCCTCTCACTTACCTGCAGACAACAAAGAAGAGTTTTGGAGACCCTCCAGCGACGTTTCCAATTTGTCGGTCTCTTTCTTCTGAACAAAGACCTTAAGGCTGTAGAGATGCTGTAGAACAGAGGTGGGCTTGTCACCGCTGGCTATGCTGCAAAGAAGGTCGTCCATAGTCTTCGACAGAAGCGGAAGCTTGTCTACACGTGATGAGGCTGAAGGGGCGAAGAAGGAGGGAGAAGAGGGTCTGTTAGGATCTTTTATTGAACATGACAGGAGTGATGAGAATCCCACTGGAGGTGTCTAAACAAGAAATCTAAGTTTAGACATTTCACTGAATGTACAGCAACTGCTTTTACAATTCATCAGTTTTTGATTCCAACTTGTATCACTTCTGCTGCAGGTTACTGTCTAAATCAGACTGTTTCCTGTGCAGTCTGATCATTCATTAGTCTTCTCTTTTTCAAAGCTTTTCTGGTATGGATGAGCTTGTTTTATTTCTAACATGAGTTATTGCCAAATCCTCGGCACACCCTGCAGCTTAATCGACTTCTTAACCTGAGCATGTTCAAAGCCTTAAAATGAAAATGAAAAACTTAGTTACAGAAGACTCTAATTGATTTCCAAAACACTCAGATTTTCAAGTCTGTTCTGAAAAATCCCCCCAAAATTGCAATGTGACTCTGAAATATGTGAAACACTACAAAGTCTCTAATGCTGGCCCTGTATCTTGTTTTCTCTAAAATTAGATTTATATAATATATATATATATCCCCAACCACTCTGACATCGCTCCACTAATGCATGTCCACCGGTCCTGTTTGTGAATGTGTGTATTTGGGGCCTATGTGTGTGAGAAGCATGTCTCTAAATAACAGAGTGAAATTTGTTTTTTTGCTGATAACACTTTCATCCCATTACTGGTGCGATGTTTCAGACTAGAACTGTCCTATCATGGCTCATAAAGAAGCACAGATGTGCTGTGGCAGAAGTGCAATTACATCTGTTAAACTGTTTCCATTAAGATGCTTGCAGCATTTGGCAGAATTAATTTTGGAAACCATATGTCATAATCAAACCATTCCTCAGCTGAGTTTTTATTCCAAATGTGAACATGGATGAGAATAAGCTGTGGTTACAGAGGAGACCTAAAGAGCCAATCACAGCCCTGTTCAATACTTACAATCCGACATATAGATTTCCATTGTTGTCCTGAAGAAGTCTGCCACCTCGGCAGCTCTCCTCTCGATATCCTCCTCCTCCTCCTCTTCTTCTTCTTCCTCACCTTTTCGGTATGTGAACTCCAGGGCAGAGGCCCGGGGCATGAGACCCATTGAGCGCAGCTTCTCTTTGTGCCGTTTCTTTTTCAGCTTTCTCTTTCTGTTCCTGCTGATGGACTCTCCTCCTTCCTCTACAAGCGTCTGACTCTGACCTCTGCGGGACTCACTCACAGCTCCATCTGTACCAGAGTCTAAAAGGAGGGCTGGTTTTCTTTTCCTTCTCCTCTTTTTTCTATGCTGTCCCTTCCCCTCTTCATCTTTGTCTAATTCTTCATCACTTTCATGGGCGATCTCATCTGTTGGAAACAAGATTGCAAAGTTATGATTAGTTTCAAAGCAGTGTTAAGCTGAATCCATTGCAGCCTCCATATGAGCTCCTACTCTCGAGTTAAAGTAAGATTCTGCGTCTCTTATTAGAGTCTCACTGCACTGTCGATACGGTCTAAAAAAAACAACCTACAAATGAGCTGCAACCAGTTTGGCGCTTGAAAGAAACTTTAAATGTTGCATTTCATCCCCCACTCTCTCCTCCCTACATTTCCTGTCTTACCAAGAACGACTTGGACTTTAGCAGTGTGCCTCACACAGTAATGGGGCTCTTACTTGCTGCACAGCTTCTTTTTCACATCTTCACACCTTCCCTCTCTTTAACAACTCGCAAGGCACTGAGAGGTCGGAGAAATCAGCTCTTATCCAATTCTTGGTGACCTGTTCACAGTAGTGAGCAGTGAACTGGCTAGCAGCCAGAACATAATGCAGCTGAGAAAGTGGCACTGCATCAACTAATGCTTAAAAGAAATCCAAGGGGAGCCCCTGCTCATGCTGGGCCGATGCATGGCATAGGTGATTGACAATAGCAGAAGGTGCCACTTTTGGGGGGGGGGGGGGGGGGGAGTCCTGAATTTAATGATAAATGTAAACCGGTGCCCAGACTGATGACTTTCTCTTCTGAACTGATTTGTTGCCTATCTCTCTCTCTCCCTCTCTCTTACTGAACCACTCACTATATCATATGCACTGCCAACAAAACTAATAAAGAAGACAGGAGGGATGTTGGAGCGTTCCAAAAACAAAAACCCAACTCACTTCTTTTGGTTTGTTTCAAATAGACATAAAGGTAGGAAGGAAAATTCTGAAGTAACTTCTTGAAACTTTTGATGATTGATCAGAGAGATGTTTATCTCTTTATCATAACTGAAGGTAGTGGGGTTTTTTTTAGGTTTATTTTGGGGGGTTTAAGCCTTTATTAAGAGACTCAACAGTGGATAGAGACACAAATTTGGGAGAGAGAGAAGAGTGGGGAATGACATGCAGGAAAGGAGCCACAGGTCAGATTCAAACCCAGGCCGCCCGCTTGGAGGTTAAGTATGCAACATAAATTACGATTGCAATTTTGACAGGTTAAAAAAGAGCCAGTTCGGTGACACTAAAAATTCTGGCTCTGGGCAAAACAATAAAAGGCTACCCATTAATCTTTCTTTGGAACGGTTGTAGTTCACCGCTCTGAAGTCTCAAATCAGCAGCTGCAAATGTAACAGCAGTGTGTTTGTAAAGGGCAATAGGAGAGGAGAAAACACATTGGGAATGTAAAGTTGCAAAAATCTTGAATGATGGAATTCGAGCATCTTTATCAACAACCAGTAATTTATCAGAAACTCGGCTGGCCATTTAGTATTTTAGATTACATTACCAGCAGTTTTTCATTGTGTAGGGGGTTATTCTAACTGCCTTAGGACAAGGGGACTGGGGTTTTAATGAGAACCTAGATGGGTACAGCTCTTTGGTTTATGAAAACATTCTGCAGCCAAGAAACTGTGTGGAGTTTACCGTGAAAAGAAAATCATGCTTTTGCAACAATAAAATCTTGGATGCCATCAGGTAGAGCCCAGTATAAACTACGTCTGTCAAAAAAAATCAAAAATGTCATCTCCCACCTCCTGTAAAATACGAAAGCCATCGTCAATCCAAAATAAAAATTGACCAGAGACAATTACTAAACCTGCTGAGCCAGCATCAGAACTTTAACAAAGAGAGCATTTAGATGGTTATTTCACATTTTTGTCATACTGTGTACTGAGCTGGAAAAGTGTAGAAAAGTGTAGATACAGGTCTGTTTGTGTGACACTTCTACTGAAGTTGTCAACTTTATTTATAATATATGAATCGTAATATATCACATCGACTAATTCTTATTTAACTGTTTCAGTCATATTATTATTATTATGGATTCACAATCACATTTCTTTCTGAAGCTTAACCTCAGCTGAACTTTAAAGGACTTTGGAGTACAATTTCCATCAAGGCTCAGTGCCCACTAAATCAAAAATGTGATCCAATTAAGGGCTGTTAGGCTGACGGGTGCAATTAATCAAACTTAACCACATCATTCATTCTGGAGGGCGCCTTAAGACAGCGCACGATCTCAGCCAACAAATCTCCCTTTTCCGTATTGAGGTAAAGCAGCAGCCTGTCAGGTGGATGAAGGTCTGCATTAAGGGAGATGATAAGTACCGATACATAATGAGCCAGCTCTGTTATTACCGTCTGATCTTTGCAAAGGTTTATGACAAGATAAAGTACTGACAAAATAAACAACCTTAAATTATGCTGAAAGTGCCATCTCTATTCATCATCAGCCTTTACAACTGCTCACTATTCAGCCTTGTAGATTATTCAAACAATACCTAAATAAGTTGTTCCATGTTTACTCTGCCACATAACACATTCACAAATAAACCAAAGTGAAAATCACCTAGCCTCAAACACCATCTGTGCTGCATTTAAGTTGTCCTCTGTTGAGAAACACAATTGATTATCACTGCCTGTTTCACTAAACTAGAGTGGCAGAGAAAAACGAGAAGAATGACTTGAATGCTGCATAGAACCAATCTGGAGAATTCCCTGCTATAAATCTAACCTAGCTTGATGGTGCACAGCAGAAGTCCATAAATGTTAGATTATAGTCTTCTTACCAGCTGGGTCCTTGGCACTATTTATACTTTCTAGCAGGGGGAGTGTGACGGATTTCTCTGAACCAATCTTGCAGTCTGCAGGAGGAGACATGACCGTGTACAGCCGCCTGCCTGGATTGGCTGCACTCTGTGCATCTTCTGAAACAGTCATACAAAACAAAAAGGTCAAAATAATCCCTCATGCTCAGAGAAGCAGGGTCACAGGAATTCTGAATGTGTGATAAAATATGTGTATTCAGAACAAAAAAAAAGAATTAAAAGGAAAATGTTCAAGCAGCATTCATTACTGGTGAACTTAGTGTTATCTTACCAGTTGTTGAGTTCACTTGAGAGGCTTTTCTTTTCGTGCAAGTTTTTTTGACTAGGGCCTCTACATTGCATGTTGGCCTTGGGTCCTCTTTCTTGGGAGCTGCTGGGTAGAGCTTCTGGAGGACTTTTGTTTGAAATACTAAGAGGCACAACAAAAAAGAGATGATAAAAAGACAATAAACACATGCCACTTTCAGGTAATCCAAAGCATTTTAATTGTAACATCCAACACTTTTCTTTGCTTTTAAGGTAACAGTCTTAAACTCAACAGTAAACTATGTTAGTCGGGCACTTTTAGTTAAATAAGTGTGGAAACCCTCAAATACCTGATGGTTTATAGAGCACTATCATCTTCTCTTGTAAAACACACGACAATTTCAATTTGAGAGAACCCTGCCAAGCCAAACAACATCATAATTATTAACCATATAATTCAACAAGGCTTAGTGAAGATGGATAAAAGAAAGCTGATCAAAAGTCAGCTTAACTCACTACTGACACATACAAACACGTGCGTTTGTTTACAATATACGCTAACTAGCAACATTCGTTAGCTGGCTACGTTAGCCCTCTGCATGCATACACCGTTGTGGAGTTTTACCAATACAGTAACAATGTTGTCGTCATACTCACTTTCTTTTCTGTGAGCCATATCGACGTAAAGAAGTTTCGCAGGTGGGAGCGAGGTGGTTGAAGTTTAAACGCAGCATGAGGCCATAGCTTCTCGTTAGCTAGCCTACGCAGGCTGTGATGCTAGCTCGCCGCAGTAAAGGAAGAAGTCACAACATCACATCGGTAAGATAACTGAGCGGAGTTGCTGTAAGTGTAATAAATGTCTAAAGGAGCCGGTAGAGTAACTTAAAAATAATAATCAGCTGCATAAATGTTCGGGCAACTCAAGCGACACTGTTTCCCATGGCAACGTTTAGCCCTCTGACTGGAGGACAGCAAAGAAACACTCCCACCGTCGAGTCTCACCGATTCCCATTCAAAATAATGTTAAATTCATGTTTCTTTACTTCTCTGAACATATGGGTGTCTTCTATATTTTACATCTATATATTATTTTGATCAGTCTGATCCATTCTTCAGTTCGGCATACAAAGCAGTCTTGCTCATGATATAAGAAACTAAATACATTGGACAAAATGTGTTTTTATAACTAATAGACAACTGTGGGTTTTAAAACATAAATAAAAACACGTTTAAAAGTAACAAACCTAAAATTATTTGTTTGATTAAATTTAATGCAAAAACATAATCTGAAAAAAAAAACTCTGGTCGAAATATTTATTGTGATTTATTAAAAAAACTTTTTGTGTCACCTGAGCAAGTCTTCATTAAGCTATAATATGTAAGACCTTGTTGAACTACTGCTTAAAAAGTTATCATATTCGCCTTACTGAATGAGTTTGTTCCTGCCAGCATAAACAAGCACACTTCTCCTTTTTTTTTTTTTTCTGTCAGTTGAACAACTTGCTGTGCTGCTGTGGTTATTGTTTGTGTTTAAGGATCAGACAAGAGCTCCCCGTGTGTTTGAATCCTGTAACAGCAGCAGTGTGGGGCGTGCGCACACAGAGCCAGCTGTACAACGGGGTGGATGCAGGGTGAGAATACTAAGCAGCCTCATGGCTCAGCATCAGCACAGGACTGAGTTAGGATTTGCGCACCCTTCCAACTTGGTTTGGGACCTCAGCATGTGAATGGGCTTTGCAGGAGGAGGATCTACCTAGGATGTCAGCTCTGAAGAAGGTAAATCTTCCACTCTTATCTCTCTCTTAATAATCTTTGAGCACACATTTAACTCCTTAAACTATGTGCAGCCGTCATGCAACACACATTGGACTGTAAATGAAATGGTCTATGCAGCAGTGAAAAGGGGTGTGTTGACAGTTTGGTTGCAGAACATCTTAGTTGTGTAAGGCGATCAGACTTTTTGATTATTGGCTTTTGAATCATCATCATAATTTCCAAACTATTTCAAAATGCATTTTTTTTGTTCAAGTAATGACAGTCCACAGTAAGCAAAATATAATGTGATTTTGCATCACTTTTGCATGCACATTAGTGGTGTTCATCACTCCTCTTATTTGACTCTAGGAAATTGGTCCTTAGAAAACTCCCTGAGGAGGAGCCTTGGATATTGAATGTTTCAAGCAGAAAAAAAGCTCTCTTACTTCAAGGCTAACTTCTTAAATGGATGTTATGCCAGCTCCCCTTGACACCTCCTGTTGTGCACGGCCACGTATTATTTTATGATGCCGACTGTAGTCTCTGTGGGTGGATAAGCTTCACTGACTGTGACTGACGCAGAGATGACAATTCTGAATTATGATTGTGGAGCTCCATACAGCTTAACAAAAGAAGACATTTGATGTTTTGTTGTTGTAAGAATCGAGGAACTAAAGTGACCTGTGTAAACATGTTGCATAACAACTTCAATGAATAAGCAATGAAACAGCATATGTATTATCCCCAAAAGGTTTCTGATTAATCAGGAACGGAGACTTGCGCTCCTTTGAAGAAGGGGTTGTGACTAGTACGGGATCAAGTCTCCTTTGTTGTTTGCAGGAATAGAAATTGTAAACTGCCTGTTTGCACAAAAAAAAAAAAAATACAATCACTTTGAGCTCTGACACATTGTGTTGTTTAAGATTCAGTGTATTTGCAAATGCCGATGTCTCAGCTCCAGTAGCTTCCTGTGATCGAGCAGCACAGAAAGATTTGGAAGTTGTATAGAATGCCTGCTTCAGCAGCACAGCTACCGAATCCACAGCAGACACACAACACTCAGCACCCACTGAGAGTGATAAAAAGTGCTGGCTGCCAGCACTCACATAGTCAGACATCATAATCACAGAGGTGCTAAAAATAGGGGAATATATTCATTGCAATGCTTTAGAAGCTCATCGGAGTTATTGCTATTCACCCTAGCGGCTAGAAGTTTTACCAGGATTTTTTTTTTTTTATCAATGCCGTACGCGTACCTTGCTGGGAAATATGAAAGGTTTTATTTTCAGGGCTCCAGAGGTCTGCTGGCCTTTCTTCAATGACACACAGCTGCATAGCCTTCTTTACCCTCCAGTTTCTAAAACTAAAAGTAGACGCACAGCTGATCAAATATGGAACTGCAGCTTTTGCCATAGTAAGAATCATGTTTCCTCAGAAATATGTCCCATGGCTGTGTACATTTATTATGCAGTTGGCAAGAAATGCCATAGAGCACTGGTAGTTTCACTTAGCAGTCTGGAGCAAATGTAATTACTTTAAATCGATAACAAGAGAATTGGCTGTAACTAAGTGTGTGTGGATTTGTGTGAATACTGCTCTGATGTGCCTATGCAAATGTGTGCATATGTAGCTGGTGTATAACTAAAAGAGGAGGAAACTGTGGGTGGACAGATGCCAGGTGGCAGGTGAGAAATACATGTCACCTCTGTGAGTCCTTGTGTGACTGCAAAATAAATGACTTGTTACTTGCCTGCCTCAGTGGGGGGGGGGGGGGCTCACCTTTTACCTCATTCACACAAGTCTCCTTACACCACAACACTCACCAGTCTACCGAAGAAAACCTGATGATTCATAGGAGATGGAAACATTTTTCCACATCCTTCCAGGCAATATCTTTAAACGATGTTAGCTTGATTAAAAACTACCACTCATGTACAGCGAATAGAGGACAAAAAAACTGATTGGACTCAAACACTATTTCCTCTAAGGAGCACTTTGGAACTGAAGGTAGCGTGTCTAATTGCTTGCATGCACAAGCACACACACACACACACACACACACACACACACACACACATGTCCACACGCTGACTATTGCAGAGTTGTCAATGGGAAGCTTGTGTGGTCTTTGCCTCCTTGGCATTGACAAGATAATGCTCTTATAATCTGCTTGGCGCTGTATTTGTGCATGTGGGGATGTCATTTTGGTCTACATAGGGGTGGTGGGGTGGTGTGTGTGTGTGTGTGTGGGGGGGGGGGTGGTAGTGTAACTAAAAGTAAGTGTTGAAACATTCAGCAGCCTCTTATCTTATTCATCCCCTCACCATGAAAGATGTGTGTGCTTTCTCCCTCCATTTCCCTCTCTCGCCATGAAACATTTTATCTCACCTTATCTAGTTGGTCACCTTATGCATCCCATTCACCTTCTCTCTCTCTCTCAGTCTCTCTCTCTCTCTCTCTCTCTCTCCCTCTCTCTCTCTCTGTCTCTCTCTCTCCCTCCCTCACTGCATTCCCTCTCTTTTTATGCCCCTATTCATTCTCTGAGTAAAGCTTCCCTGCATCTGTAATAGTTTGGCCTCCGTTCAGGGATGCAGAGGGAATGGAAAGGATGGATGGGATGCAAGTTTTATCAATCTAATAATGCATGAGAGCCAAGTGTGCGTAATGTATATACACTATGTGACTCTGTGTGTGTCAGTGTATACCTGCTGTGCACCAATAGTACTGACTTAATCACCTTTGTGCTTTGGTGGGCAGCTATTCCAAGGCAGTCGGGTGCAATTGCTTTTTCCAAAGTCAGGTGTGACTCATTACAAGGTCCAATAGCAAGCTTGTATTTATAACCCTCATTATTCTGATGTCTACTAAATGTTCATTAAAACAGTGGTTATCTTTTCAAAGTTAAATTATCAATTATAATTTTTTCCCTGAAGTCCCACAGTCAAAATGTGAAATGTGACTGATGCAATGGCAAAACCCTGTTCAGATTTTAGTGTGCTTGGGGTCTTCCTTGTAGAGTATAATTTGTGAAACCATTCCCGTTGGAGAAAGGCCCAGCTCTTTTACAACCCAGGCTTTACCAGACCCTTTAAACTGTGCACTGGACTTGAATATATCAGCTTCATTAAAAAAAAAACCCTCTTCAGTGAGGGACATTAAGACAGCGGATGTTTTGGTTAGAACAGGTCTAAGGGATTTGACTCTCAGGTACACTGCACCTCGTGGCTTTTAGCGATAAACAAACATTGGGCCTCTTTCCCTCAATCCCACTCCGGCTTTGTTCACATTTGCTTATGGCCCTCTTTGTCTTAAAATGATCTCTCATTGCCTTTGACCTCAATCTGACCTTGCACACCCCCCCCCGCTCTTTCTGGATGAACCGCTTGCCTCGTTGCATGAACATCTGGATGGGATCTTAGCTCTTCAAGTTCCCTTTCATCTGTTCCTACCGATTTCTCTGGTGGTCCATGTTCCAAATAAGTGAAGCAATGGTTGTACATACAGTTTGCCTCGTCACTGGATCTTATACAGTCCTTAATCCTATGGAGAACCATGACTTAGGAGTGACATGGTACTTGTTTTAGTACAGATGTCTTTTGTACTTTTGTTTAACCTACAGTTGTAATTTATTACTCACACTGTGATACAGTGGTATACGTTGAATTGATGGGGATTTTTAAAAACATTTTTTATTGCGTCATACTGATAAATGATTCTGATATTTTGTCCACTTCTGTGTGTCACATCTCTTTAGTATTAGCCAGGATGAGTGGTCACAGTCTAACCCTTATCTTGTGCTAAATCAGCACACCACTGCATTTGATGGTTTGCCTGGGTTAGAAGGGAGCAGACATTGCTCCAGGCTAACAGGAAGATGGTTGAATGTATTGGAGTGATTACGCTTCCTGACTGTCCTCTTAGAACACCATTTGCTCCCCAAGGATTACACTCCAGACCTCAGCAGCAGGAACAAATATACCCTATGATAATTGCCCATACCCAGCAGTAGTTCTGTGTAGAGATAGGTCAGTTTGTATGAGTGGCAGCTGGTCAATAGAGGGCGCTAGGGCGCTTAAGACAAACAGATAGTTTAGTCAAATAAAAAGATTGCAATGCTGTTAGCCAGTTATAGAGAGCTAAGATATATACATGCTGGTCATTCTGTGAGCAATTGTGCCCACACTGGAGATCAATGCTCCAGCCGTCAGTGGTTTGTACTGTATGTGTTTATGTGCCCATTCTACTGACATGTCTTTGCTTTATAAGAATCCTGAAACAGCACTTGGACAAGAGCTGTTCCTGCTGACCGCTCTCTGCCCTCCTGGTCTAAATAGCCTGAGTCGCCCCAAGCAAGAGGCATCACATGAACCCGGAGCATTGGAGTCTGACTGAAGTCCAGTAAAACTAAGTTGATAGGGTGCACACATAACACGCCCTGGTCACTTTAACCTCGTACATTTTGTAAGTTTGAAAAACAAGAACGAATAACTTTTCTTTTAGGCGCATCAGTTTGTGCACAAGTTAAATCACAGAGGCTATTTCTGATCCTCACTCTCCGGTCTCATGACACAGACTCCATCAAACAGTAGATAAAAAACTATCTTCCAGACAAATGGACTTTGAGGGGGGAAGGCAATCAGTACTTTTATCTGGGGTTATTTTTTAGAGAGCTGATATCAGAGAGAAAGGTTTCTTAGTGGCCTCAAATGATGTGT